GTCTTGATTACTGTAGCTCTGTAGTATAGTCTGAAGTCAGGGAGCCTGATTCCTCCAGCTCCATTTTTCTTTCTCAAGATTGCTTTGGCTATTCGGGGTCTTTTGTGTTTCCATACAAATTGTGAAATTTTTTGTTCTAGTTCTGTGAAAAATGCCATTGGTAGTTTGACAGAGATTGCATTGGATCTGTAGATTGCTTTGGGTAGCATAGTCATTTTCACAATGCTGATTCCTCCAATCCAAAAACGTGGTATATCTCTCCATCTTTTTGTATCATCTTTAATTTCTTTCATCAGTGTTTTATAGTTTTCTGCATACAGGTCTTTTGTCTCCTTAGGTAGGTTTATTCCTAGGTATTTTATTCTTTTTGCTGCAGTGGTAAATGGGAGTGTTTCTTTAATTTCTCTTTCATATTTTCATCATTAGTGTATAGGAATGCAAGGGATTTCTGTGCGTTAATTTTGTATCCTGCTACTTTACCAAATTCATTGATTATTCTGGTAGCATCTTTAGGATTCTCTCTGTATAGTATCATGTCATCTGTAAACAGTGACAGCTCTACTTCTTTTCCGATGTGGATTCCTTTTATTTCTTTTTCTTCTGATTGCTGTGGCTAAAACTTCCAAAACTATGTTGAATAACAGTGGTGAGAGTGGGAAACCTTGTCTTGTTCCTGATCTTAGAGGAAATGGTTTCAGTTTTTCACCACTGAGAATGATGTTGGCTGTGGGCTTGTCATATATGGCCTTTATTAGGCTGAGGTAGGTTCCCTCTATGCCTACGTTCTGGAGGGTTTTTTATCATAAATGGGTGTTGAGTTTTGTCAAAAGCTTCTTCTGCATCTATTGAGATGATCATATGGTTTTTATCCTTCAGTTTGTTAATATGGTGGATCACATTGCTTGATTTGCGTATATTGAAGAATCCTTGCATTCCTGGGATAAACCCCACTTGATCATGGTGTATGATCCTTTTAATGTGATCTTGGATTCTGTTTGCTAGTGTTTTGTTGAGGATTTTTGCATCTATGTTCATCAGTGATATTGGCCTGTAGTTTTCTTTTTTTGTGACATCTTTGTCTGGTTTTGGTATTAGGGTGAGGGTGGCCTCTTAGAATGAGTTTGGGAGTGTTCCTCCCTCTGCTATATTTTGGAAGAGTTTGAGAAGGATAGGTGTTAGCTCTTCTCTAAATGTTTGATAGAATTCGCCTCTGAAGCCATCTGGTCCTGGGCTTTTGTGTGTTGGAAGATTTGTAATCACAGTTTCAATTTCAGTGCTTGTGATTGGTCTTTTTATATTTTCTGTTTCTTCCTGGTTCAGTATTGGAAGGTTGTGCTTTGCTAAGAATTTGTCCATTTCTTCTGGGTTTTCCATTTTATTGGCATATAGTTGCTTGTAGTAATCTCTCATGATCCTTTGTATTTCTGCAGTGTCAGTTGTTACTTCTCCTTTTTTATTTCTAATTGTGTTGATTTGAGTCTTCTCCCTTTTTTTTCTTGATGAATCCGGCTAGTGGTTTATCAATTTTGTTTATCTTTTCAAAGAACCAGCTTTTAGTTTTATTGACCTTTGCTGTTGTTTCCTTCATTTCTTTTTCATTTATTTCTGGTCTTATCTTTATGATTTCTTTCCTTTTGTTAACTTTGGGGATTTTTTGTTCTTCTTTCTCTATTTGCTTTAGGTGTAAGGTGAGGTTGTTTATTTGAGATGTTTCTAGTTTCTCGAGGTAGGATTGTATTGCTATAAACGTCCCTCTTAGAACTGCTTTTGCTGCATCCCGTAAGTTTTGGATTGTCATTTGTTTCTAGGTATTTTTTGATTTCCTCTTTGATTTCTTCAGTGATCTCTTGGTTATTTAGTAGCATATTGTTTAGCCTCCATGTGTTTGTATTTTTTACAGTTTTTTTCCTGTGAATGATATCTAGTCTCATAGCATTGTGGTCAGAAAAGATACTTGATACGGTTTCAGTTTTCTTAAATTTACCAAGCCTTGATTTGTGACCCAAGATATATGGTCAATCCTGGAGAATGTTCCATGAGCACTTGAGAAGAAAGTCTATTCTGTTGTTTTTGGATGGAATGTCTATAAAAATCAATTAAGTCCCTCTTATTTAATGTGTCATTTAAAGTGTGTGTTTCCTTATTCATTTTCATTTTGGATTATCTGTCCATTGGTGAAAGTGGGGTGTTAAAGTCCCCTACTATGATTGTGTTACTGTTGATTTCCCCTTTTATGGCTGTTAGCATTAGCCTTATGTATTGAGGTGCTCCTATGTTGTGTGCATACATATTTACCATTGTTATATCTTCTTGGATTGATGCCTTGATCATTCTGTAGTGTCCTTCTTTTCTCTTGTAAAAGTCTTTGTTTTAAAGTCTGTATTGTCTTATATGAGACTTGCTACTCCAGCTTTCTTTTGATTGGCATTTGCATGGAAAATCTTTTTCCATCCTCTCACTTTCAGTCTGTATGTGCCCCTAGGTATGAAATGTGTCTCTTGTAGACAGCACATAATGGGTCTTGTTTTTGTATCCATTCAGCCAGTCTTTGTTTTTTGGTTGGAGCATTTAATCCATTTATATTTAAGGTAATTATCAATATATATGTTCCTATTACCATTTTCTTAACTGTTTTGGGTTTGTTTTTCTAGGTCTTTCCCTTCTCTGGTGTTTCCTGCCTAGAGAAGTTCCTTTAGCATGTGCTGTAAAGCTGGTTTGCTGGTGCTGAATTCTCTTAGCTTTTACTTGTCTGTAAAGGTTTTAATTTCTCTGTCGAATCTGAATGAGATCCTTGCTGGGTAGAGTAATCTTGGTTGTAGGTTTTTCCCTGTCATCACTTTAAATATGTCCTGCCACTCCCTTCTGGCTTGCAGAGTTTCTGCTGAAGGGTCTGCTGTTAACGTTATGCGTATTCCCTTTATGTTATTTGTTGCTTTTCCCTTGCTGCTTTTAATATTTTTTCTTTGTATTTAATTTTTGATAGTTTGATTAATATGTGTCTTGATGTGTTTCTTCTTGGATTTACCCTGTATGGGACTCTCTGTGCTTCCTGGACTTGATTGACTATTTCCTTTCCCATGTTAGGGAAGTTTTCAACTATAATCTCTTAAAATATTTTCTCAGACCCTTTCTTTTTCTCTTCTTCTTCTGGGACCCTATCATTTGAATGTTGGAGCATTTAATGTTGTCCCAGAGGTCTCTGAGACTGTCCTCAGTTCTTTTTGTTCGTTTTTTCTTTATTTTGCTCTGCAGTAGTTATTTCCACTATTTTATCTGCCAGGTCACTTATCCGTCCTTCTGCCTCAGTTATTCTGCTATTGATTCCTTCTAGAGAATTTTTAATTTCATTTATTGTGTTGTTCATCACTGTTTGTTTGCTCTTTAGTACTTCTAGTTCCTTGTTAAATGTTTCTTGTATTTTCTCCATTCTATTTCCAGGATTTTGGATCATCTTTACTATCATTACTCTGAATTCTTTTTCAGGCAGACTGCCTATTTCCTCTTCATTTGTTTGGTCTGGTGGGTTTCTACCTTGCTTCTTCATCTGCTGCATATTTCTCTGTCTTCGCATTTTGCCTAACTTACTGTGTTTGGGGTTTCCTTTTCACAGGCTGCAGTTTCGTAGCTCCCGTTGCTTTTGGTGTCTGCCTCCAGTCGGTAAGGTTGGTTCAGTGACTTCTGTAGGCTTCCTGTTGGAGGGGACTGGTGCCTGTGTTCGGGTGGATGGGGCTCGATCTTGTCTTTCTGTTGGGCAGGGCTGCGTCCAGTGGTGTGTTTTGGGGTGTTGTTAACTTAGTGTGATTTTAGGCAGCCTCCCTGCTAATGGGTGTGCTTGTGTTCCTGTCTTGCTAGTTGTTTGGCATGGGGTATCCAGACTGGAGCTTGCTGGCCATTGGGTGGAGCTGGGTCTTAGCATTGAGACAGAGATCTCTGGGAGACCTCTCGCCAATTGACATTACATGGGGCCTGGAGGTCTCTGGTGGTCCAATGTCCTGAACTCAGCACAACAGGCCAGAGCACCAAGACCCTGTCAGCCACACGGCTTAGGGAAGCCTTCAGCCAAACAGAAACATCACGAATAGAGTGCACACCTATAGAAACCCTCTGGTAGTTTCCATTCCTTTCTCTATCTATGTATTTTAAATTGATTTAATAAACTGTATTTCAAGCATCTTAATTTGGTCTGTGAGGACTTCTGGGATAGCTTGCCTGGTAGAGTACTTGAAGGCTTCTGCAGCCCAGGGTAGTTTCCCACATTACAACATATGTAATAGAAGGAAATGATAAATTTCAGTTGGAGCTTAGTGAAAACAAAGATGTAATTTTTCCCCATCCAAGTTCATGGATGTGCAGTTCAAGTTCCAGTTTGTGGAGGAGTTAAATGCTCTAGTCCTAAGGCAAGCTATGTGGCCTTCTAGAAAGCCAGTGTTTACATTTGTTACAGATTTTTAGAGTATTTTTGATCAGATAGCTATTGTAATGGGGAAAGGATAGCCTAACCTTTATGTGCCAAGTAGAAATTTTATCTGTTTGAGAGGCTACCTCACTATATCCATCAAGAGTCCTTTCTGACTTTCAAAAGAAAAAGTCACGGTCACCTAGAGGTCAGATTCCTAGACCACATGCATCACGTGATTAGGATATTAGAAGTACAGGAAATGAGGCTGGTCCCTATTAACTCCCCAGAGTGTCCTGGAACATGTACCCCCAGAATCAGGATATCATGGTGTTTCCTAATTACTGTGAAATTTCTTCTAGGTCCTAACCTGGGATCCATGAAATAACCCTGACTTCCCCATATCAGTTAAATCACTTTATGTTGGGCAATTCTCTCAACCTCACTGAAGTTCAGATCTTACATTTATAAAATGAGGAAATATGCATTTTACGTATTCTAGAAGGTGAACTTTAGTACTGCCAGAGCTGTGATTACATTTATGACAAAGATAAATCACAAGGCAGCCTTGGGCATTCTTGCTGGAAAAAGGCAGAATACTTACTTAATGAGAATTTTATTTCTGGTCCAGGAAATTTCAGGCTGAGGATAGGATTCCACTGCACACATGAAAGTAGCCACTTCTTCAACTAAGGCATCCACTGTTTCAAGAGGAGTGGTGATGACAGGGGCTGAAAGGAGAGGAGAAATCAAACGAGAGCGTTCTACAGTACTGCTTACTAACTCTTCTGTAAGTAGTCAGAGGCCACCACATACCTGAATGAGAATGCCATTTCCCCATAGTAGAAATTTGCCAAAAGGAAGGAAAAATTTTGTGTAGAGGATTTTGTTGCTACTTCTAAAGTAGGCATTTGAGAATCAAAAGAGAAGGCTCTCAGGAGAGTCAGACTTAGATTTATTATATATGGGTTGAGGCAGATCCAGGTTTTGTGAAGTCCAAAGTTATATAATTTAGGTGTCCTTTTTAAGAAAAAATATGTAAAATTATTGATACAAAATGTCTGTTGCCTCCCTAACACCAATCAACTTGAAGGGAAGTGTCACTGAAGGGAAGTCAAAGTGAAAAGAGAAAGCAGTCTTAACAATTCCCGTTTAAAAACAATTTTCCCCAAATTTTGTTAAAACATATGTTTATAAGAACACATTGCTAGAAACCACCAGAGGTCTTAGAAGGGGGCTCCTGTAAATGAGAGGCTTTGAAGGTGAAGATTCATCAGATTTATAAAGAATTCACATCTGCATTATGAGTAGATTAGAAAAAGACTCAATAATAAAAAGACAGCCCAAACAACAAATGAGCAAAGGATCTGAACTGACCTGTCTCCAAAGAATATATACGGATGGACAACAAGCATGTAAAAAGATGCTCAACATCATTAGCTATTAAGGAAATGCAAACCAAAACCTCAGTAAGATACTAGTTTACACACACTAGAATGGTTATAATAAAGATGAAATATAACAACAAATACTGGCAAGGATGTGGAAAAATTAGAACCTTTGTGCATTGTTGGTGGGAATGTAAAATGGCACAGCCACTGTGGAAAACAAGATGGTGGTTCCTCAGATAAGCATAGAATTAATATATGATCCAGCAATTCCACTTCTGGATATATGCCCAAAAGAACTGAAAGCAGAGACTCAGATAGATATTGGTACACCCACGTTCAAAGCAACATTACTCAGAGTAGCCAAAAGGTGGAGCAACCCAAGTGCCTGCCAACAGATTAATGGATAAACAAATGTGGTATATCCATTCAACGAAATATTATTTGACAATAAGAAGAAACAAAGTACTGATACATGCTACAACATGGATGAAACTTGGAAACAATAAACTAAGTGAAAGAAGCCAGTCACAAGAACGACATACTGTACAATTTCATTTATATAAAATATCCAGAATATTCATTATCTGTAGAGACAGAAAATACATGAGTGATTGTCTAGGAATTGGGAAGAGGATGGAGGGATTAGGGAGTAATCTATGGCTAAGGAATGCAGGATTTCAAATAGGTGTAATAAGAATGTTCTAAAATCGATTATGATGATGAATGCACAGCTCTATGAACCGTATACTTTACCCAAAGAGACTGGTATGTGAATTACATCTCAATAAAGCTGGGGGTTTTGTTTGTTTGTTTCTGCTTGGTGTGTGTGTGTGTGTGTGTGTGTGTGTGTGTGTGTGTGTGTTACAAAAAGAAAGACAAAAGGAAGAGAGGCCATAAACATGGTCCCTGTCTCCTCCCACCTCCATGAAATGAGAGTCACCTGGCTTAGAAGAATTGGGGAGGAAAGAGAAGTTAAGAAGGATGAGAATGTGTTGGTAAAGGGATGCACCCCACTTCAACTTACAAATCTGTGAATCCCACCAAAACAAAGGGGTGAGGTCCTGGTCACCTCAAGGGCTTGATGGTGTGAGAAAGTGCCGGCACCTGTATTTGGGTGAGTCTGAAAATCTACCCCATTGTATAATCTGATTTAAAATAATTATCATCATCACTGCTTTGTTATTATTATTTATCAAAGATTTATTTACGATTTTTCATGGAGCAGGCACTGCGTTGACTAGAAGCAAAAAGATGTGTAAAGCACATCTCTGCCTGGTAAGAGTCCACAATCTAGATGATAAGGTAGGATAGATACATAAAATGATCAGCTATAATAATCAGTTATGCCTGCTATCCTGGCATAATTGTTAATAGTACCCCCATACTCCAAAAATACCTGAGTTTGGACAGTAAATTATATGGTCATTTTAGTTAAAATGCAAGGTGCCTAGGAAAGCCAAGTAAGTAGTGTGAGCAATATTTTAGATGCAGGGTAGGGGGTGACAGCCCCATAAAACAAGAAGAAAAAACTGGCACGTTGGCCATTAAAAAATGCATCCAGGGCTTCCCTGGTGGCGCAGTGGTTGAGAGTCCGCCTGCCGATGCAGGGGACACGGGTTCGTGCCCCGGTCCGGGAAGATCCCACATGCCGCGGAGCGGCTGGGCCCGTGAGCCATGGCCGCTGAGCCTGCGGGTCCGGAGCCTGTGCTCCGCAACGGGAGAGGCCACAACAGTGAGAGGCCCGCGTACTGAAAAAAAAAAAAAAAAAAAAAAATTAATGCATACCGTATCTAAATGAAACTTATTTTTTCAGTAAACTCAGAGGCAAACTCATTGGCTGAGAGTAAGGGAAATGGTGGTTGGGAGTGTCCACTTAGCCCATATCTCTTTCGTAAGTGTTATTCTTTTCTTAAGGTCCAGTTTAAGCATCATCTCCTCTCAATCTCCCTGACTTCCTAGATAGAACCAAATACCCTTTTCTTTAACCTTGTTTCATCCTATATATGTCACTCATAGCACTTGCCACACAGATGCTATTAGAATGATTTGTTTATGTCTTTGTCCCACACTCAGTTATAAAAACCTTAAGCTTTGGGTCAGGGACCATGTCTCAGACCTCTCTCTATCTGGAGGGCTAGCACACTGACTAATGTGTTGTTTAAATGAACCAAACTCTGTTACTGAGGCCTTTATAAAAGGCATAAATTTTTTAAAAGGTTGAGAGAAAGTAGGTGAAAGAAGAGGGCAGAATTTTTAGGTGAAATCACGTCTTTTAGATTTTATATCTAGGCAGCAAGGCCCCCCTTTTCCCAACTTTGCACTAAAATGACCATTAATATATACAGAATGCTGTACAAAGAAATAAAGAAATTAAAAGTATTAAAGAATAGTTAAGAGACATAAAAACAGACAGGCACTAATAAACTTCTAACAGAAGTTCCAAAAAACGTAAAATAGAAGAAATGGCACAGAAGTAATATGTAAAGGGATAAATCACTGATCATTTTTCAAAAGTGAAAAAAAGCAGAAATATTCACATTGAAAGTTTCCACTAAGCATCAAGCCAGATAAAGAAAAATAAATGTATTCTTAGATACACTGGATTAAAACTGTAGAAAATTTAAGATAAAGAAAATCTTAAACCTTACTAGAAAGAAAAGATCAATCACCTTAAGAAGAATGCCAATTAGGCTAACCTGATATTATTTGGCAACAATTGATACCAAAAGGCAATGGACTAGTTTTTTTAAAAGGCTGAGAAAAAAAAAACTGTTAGCCTGGAATTCTATAGCCAGCTTAGATAATCATATTTTTTTAAATGAAGACAAAGTAAATACACAGACAAATATTTACCACTGAGACCTTCTCTGAAACAGTTACTAAAAGTATATAAACTCCATAAGAAATAACTTGTACCCAAAAGAAGGGGGCCAGGGATGAGAAACTGTAGTTAGCATAGATGGTGGTAAAATATAATTGCAATTTTAGACACTGTGGAATATATATTTTTTAAACTCAATAATTTTTTTTTTCTTTTTCTTTTTTTTTTTGTTTTTTTTTGTTTTTTTTTTTTTGCAGTACGCAGGCCCCTCACTGTTGTGGCCTCTCCCACTGCGGAGCACAGGCTCCGGACGCGCAGGCCCAGCGGCCATGGCCCACGGGCCCAGCCGCTCCACGGCGCGCGGGATCCTCCCGAACCAGTGCACGAACCCGTGTCCCCCGCATCGGCAGGTGGACTCCCAACCACTGCGCCACCAGGGAAGCCCTAAACTCAATAATTTTTGTGTTTAAAAAAAGAGTGGAACTAGAATTCTAGACAAACAATTATAAGATGAAAGTTTAGGAAAGACGTTTAGCAGATTGTTAAAACATTCTAAGTTCTTTACTGTAAAAGCAGGAAGATGACAGAAACACTGAATAACTCTAAACATGGGGAGAAAATATATGGTTAGAGACATATTGTTAAAATTTCACTAATGCTTACCACTAAATAGATTAAAAACCAAAACTTCCAGACTAGCAGAAGAAAAAAGAGACTAGAACTGTATCAAGTAAAAAAAAAATGATGAAGCAGCAGAAAAGGAGGATAAATAAGCCAAGAAAAGGTATAGTTAACAGAAGACACAAATTGATGTGGAAGAAACATGGCCAAATATATCAGAAATCACAGTAAACACCCATGGTATAAACTGATCTATGGAAAGACAGACACTATCATACAGGATTAAAAAACACAAAAGACATGCCTAAATAAAACAGAAACATTGGATATAAAGAGAATGGAAAATATATACAAAGTAAACAAAACAAAGTGATAAAGCAATAAAGTACTAATATAAGAAAAAATGGAATATAAGGTGATAAGTAAGCCTCTGAAGAATGAAGAGAAATACTACTTAATGATAAAAGGAACAATCCATCAGGAAGATACAACAATCATGAAGCTTAATTATTTAAAAATATAGACTCAAACAAAGCCCAAACTAAAACTAATATTACCAGAAGATATTACAATGAAGTAATAGGCTACTAAATTTTTAAAGAAAATTACACACACACACACACACACACACACACACACACACACACACACATGAGAGAGGAAAAATGAATGAGTAGCAAAATGTTGTAATCATTTACCTCCTAGTTGTGAGCATTATGTGTAATTTTGTATTTTTGTTTTGCCATACCTTACAGCAAAGTATTACAGGAAAATACTATATATTTTAAAATATATAAAATTAATATATATAAATTAATATATGTATATAAAAATTATAGGACATAAATCAGAAGGCCACAGAAATGTTAATTTTCCAATGCAGTGGAAGCAAGTTTGT